TTTGTTTTTCTTACTCTTTTGCAAGCAAATAAAATTTATCATAGATTAAGAGAAACTAGTAATAATGGCTATGAGATAACCATATGGTTGGTTGGAATCCATGTTCGAGATTGCGCTAGGTGTGTGAATAAGGCGGTCGGTCCAGACCTAACGAATTACCAAAAAATAGGAGATAAATCGGTAAGTGTGGAAGCTGAATTACACTAAAAAAATTTAGAGTTAAAAAATATTTATAATTTGATGTAAAGCGAGATGCGTACTACGAAATAGACTTATATTGATATGAATCGAATATACAAAGAGAATATGAGAGATGTGTGTACACTGCTAATTGAAGTGCTAAGTGTTCTAATACATAAAAGATGTTGAATTCCTCCAGGATCCCTTGTATTTATAGTATGATTCAGCCTCGTCGTCCATCTTCGCGTATCTTGGTATGCTCCGGGTATCTCAGATACGTGCGTAGTTGGTCATCCAGAAATTTCGCTAAGCAGAATGAGTCAAAGATATTCATTTGACTCATTTTGAGCTCCGCTGTTCAGCTCCTGCTAGTCAACACTCGTCATTTATTGTATGCGAGCCTATGATCTGGGGGAGGTTTACTATGTTAGCGCATTAAGCCTATTTCTATATCAGATTTTTTATGGGCCAAATTTGAGTGACAAATCTAGCTTCAACAGTGAATATTTGATAAAAAAAAAAAACATTTTTATCCATAAAACACCAAATCTAAAAAATTTATCCATTTTTTTTTATTAATGTAGAATCTCTTAGCATGGATAAGATTAAGATTGGATAAATCAAAATTTGATCATCTAAACATACGATATGTTTCAGTTAGATTTAAATAAAACTACTAGACTCTCTCTCTTTTCTCATCAGTATCTTTCAGAGAGAGAGAGAGTCTATGTTTGTAAATAGATCCGATTAATTTAGATTTTGTTTTCGTTTATCGGAAGGATAATTTCCAGCTTCGTCTGGATCTCTTTTTCGGTTTACTCGGATGTTTTATTTTGTTTTGTTCTTTTGCAGATTCAAACTCGATGGTGATGATTTCAAGATCTGCTGGAAGCATCTTCGTCTGCCTTCCTTACATATTTATCATCCTCTCTGGCGGGGAGTTATCTCCCCTTGGATCCTTGTTACTAGACCTTGTATGGTTATGGGGTGTTGTCATGAGATGGTCAGAGGTGATTTGTTGTGAAGGTTTGAAGATTTTTCAGTTCATGGTTAAGCTCGGTGCTTAGATGCAAATGGAGTTTTAATGGAGGAAGAAAGCCGACAAAGATGAATCACGTTCGTATAATCTTGCGACAGATTCATCGGTATCCGATTTCTTGGTGGTTTTCCGGCGTCGGAAAATCTGAGGGGGCTAGGGTTATCCTTGTCAACCTTGTATTCATCACGTGTCTGCCATGCCTAGTCTTTTAGGTTCATTAGGGGTTAATGTAATTGGGTTTGGGCTTTAAATAGTCAAGGTTGTATCCTCTTAATCCTCTTGTAATTGGTCTTTTAGACTTTTTAATGAAATGACGTTATAAAAAAAAAATTTATGAAGGTGATAATGAGAAAAATAAATATAAATAAAAGTATA